GCTAAAATTAATGACAGATTTCTTGTTATTTTGTCATAAGAAACAACTGTAAAAATTTTGAGAAAAATCGGCGTCTGACATTTCTTAAGGTTTACTTGTTAGAATATTTCCGCTATTTTTAGAAATATGAAATAATATTTTTATTAAAGTTGTATATATTGTCGATTATAATAACCATGCACACAGAAACTTGCTCAAAACTATCGTTTATGATTTTTTTAATGTTATATGATGCTACTACGATACACCATCATATGACGTATTATTATATTCTGCATTTTGTTGTACATATATATATATATACTACGTGTTTAATATCCATATATTTAAATATGTACAATATACCTGCTACATATTATATACGTATTTCGTCTTTGATATGCACAATATACCTGCTATATATTACATCCGTATTATATACGTATTTCGACTTGAATATGCACAATATATCTGCTTCAATAATAAATTAAATGCAGATTGAGTTCTCGAGATATTAACAACAATAATGAATATCACCATATATAACGGGCGATTGAGAGCTGAAGAAAGACGCAGTTATTAAGCGTGTGTAAAAAATATATTTAAAAACCCTTACATCAACTTCGCAAGAGATTTAGCAAATTTCAAAATCGAACGTTTTGGCTTCATTCAAGCTATCATCAGCGATGTTAGACAAAAAAAAATGTAATCATTACTCGCATCTTAGACGATCCAAGAGAGCAGCCGGAAGAACAATTCCAAATTTGGAAAAGCATCTTTGTTCATTGACTGATTAGTCAAGTGAGAACAGCTGCAAACTTTGTTCAACATAACGCAAAGAAGGAAAAATATATGTCGAGAGAACTGTCCCGTGACGAGTATAAAATTGAAAAAATGTTAAGAATTACTTGAAAAAATTACAGATTATTCTAAATTGCATTTAAAAATAATACAAACAAATTCGAGACAGTTTACAATCTGAATTAAAAGTTATTTCAATAAAAAGTAATATTTTTTAAATTTGTACTCTAATAGAAATTATGAAAATGTATTATAAAATAATGATAAAAATCTCTTTTTTTTATAAGTACTT